CTCCTCAGACATCTCCTGCTCTTCCTGGGCCGAACCCAGCAGAGCACTGGCCCCTGGGTCAGACGATGTTAGGGAAATAACATCATCCTCCAGCGGCAGGTCCTGAACCGCGGGGAGCAGATGGCTGCCCCTCTCTCCTCGAAAAGAGAGACAAACGAGAGCGGAGCTTTTTCATTGAAAAACGCTCGCAGTGCACGTCGCGCGGCTTCTAAATTAAAGCGTCTTAATTAAATCAATAAACTAATTGCAGGAGAAGCAATTTAACTTCGGTACTTTGATTCCGTGATGTTAACAAGTATTTTAACAGGCTCACTGACTCCATGCTGACACTTTCAATCAATGCGAGAGAGTAGGCTTTGTGGGCTCCAATTTTCATTAATTGATTAGTTAGGCCTTCATAAATGGATTATGACACTATCAGGAGAATTTACTTGGGAAAGTGCCATAAAATTTAAGCGCAGAATAATAACAACAATAAAGGTAGAGCAGGATATAAGAGAGCAACTGAAATACGACAGGAGTAATTGTAAAATCGTTGAGGGGAAAAATGCTCTTAGGGTATTAATAGACAAAAGGAGAGGCGGTAGAGATGGGACAGGGGAGGGACCTGTGCTAATGTTGTTCTGAGAGGAGCAGACTGTGCATCTGTGGAGTACTGTGAACCTCCAGTCAAGGAATACTATATATATATATATATATATATATATATATATAATAGTATAATTATACTATTATTCTAAAATTCTAATAGCATTGTCATAAGGCTGGATCATAACAGTATTTGCCTATACTATCAGAGGTATAGGTCTATAAGGTATGCTGTGATCCATCCTAAACCCTTTCCCCTCTCTCGTTCATTCCCGTCCCTCAGTTGTTCCTTCCAGTCCCACCATGGCCTCCTCCACCAGTCTTCCCTCCAACTGCAGCAGTTCCTCAGGCATCTTCTCTTTCTCTCCGGCCAACATGGTGTCTGCAGTCAAACAGAAGAGCGCTTTTGCTCCCGTCGTGCGGCCCCAGGCCTCACCGCCCCCCACCTGCATCAGTGCCAATGGAAACGGCCTCCAAGGTGAGAGGAACAGCAGAATATAAAGCTTGACCTGTATAAGTATACTGCATATTCACACACACACATCCCTTCAAAAATGTTGGGGCCCGTAAGGTGGTTTAAGAAGTCTCACAAAGGCTGCATTAATTTGATCAAAAATACAGTAAAACTGTAATATTGTGAAATACTTTTCTATTTTAATATATTTTAAAATAATTTATTCCTGTGATGGCAAAGCTGAATTTTCAGCATCATTACTCTAGGGTCATATGATGCTTCAGAAATCACTCTAATATGCTGATTTGCTGCTCAAGATACAATTATTATCATTATTAATGTTGAAAATGTTGTGTTGCTTAATATTTTGATGAAAACAGTGATCCTTTTTTCAGGATTCTTTAAAGAATAGAAAAATCAAAAGAACAACATTTATTTAAAATAGAAATCTATTGCAATAATGTAAAAGTCTGTACTGTCACTTTTGATTAATAGTGTGTCCTTTTTGGGAAAAAAAGTACTTACTTCTTAAAATAAAAATCTTACTGATCCAAACTTTTAAACAATAATGTGTGTGTGTGTATTTATTTATTTATATTTATTATATATATATATACTGAACAAAATTATAAACGCAACACTTTTGTTTTTGCCCCCATTTTTCATGAGCTGAACTCAAAGATCTAAGACTTTATACTCTTTTATATGGATTTTGCTGTGCAGTGTTCTTTCTAAGCACTCTGTTATAAAACCAAGTGAGCTGCCTCCAAAATTACAATAAGCTAATTATGCTGCCTTCGAAGACACCTAGTTTTGCCGACTTTTTTGTCAATGCAGAGCACTGTTTATATGACGCAAGGAATCTGTGCCTATGTAAAGCTTTCCAAATAGTCACTTATGAGGTTGAAAGGCATCTGTCTATGTAGGCATTTGGCAGCGATGCAACTCACTTGTTTTGAAACCGAGCTGACGTGTCGGATCTACAGCCTTCTAACACTTAGACAGCTGTAAGTTTGTCCTAACTTGTGGTAATCTGTTTTTATATTTGCTTCTCTGACCCAATTCCTCTTTTTGTACTTAAAAAATAACTGTCTTTCTCTCTGTTTCCATCATCTTCCTTCCCCTTCCCCTGCTTTCTCCCTCTGCTTCCAGTAGATCAATCTTTTGTGGACTCTAGCAAGTACTCCACCGCCAGCTCCCTGCAGGGACTGGCCTTCTCCTGAAGTATGTTACACCTGTCTCACACTCTTTCTTCATCATCCTCTCTTTCTGTCCATGAAGCCATCCATCAGCATGACTGTCAGAGCATCCTCTCCCTTCATCCTCCTTCGTTCTCCTCACTTCTGCTCGGTCACTGGGGGCCTGCTGCACATCTTGAAGAGCATGCCATATGTGTTTCATTTCCTGCCTGACTTCCTGTTTCCTGTGTCAAATCCTCCTCAGAGTTTGTTTGTGTTCGCTTGTGTTTGTCAGTTAACTAACCATAAGTATGTTAACATCCACTAACATAAAAATTCTAAAAGGTGAATTTCAAGAAAAAATGTATGGATGATGTTTATACCCCAAAATATTTAGGACTATTAAGATTTTCTGCATTGTGACATTATTTTCATGATTTTTTCCCCATAAATTTGTAATATGGAAAAATCTCATTCTCATTACTTTCATAAAGTAATAAAGTAATCCTGGCCATTTTGTTTTATTAAAATCAGCCTAAAAATAAATTTAAATAATAAAATAAAATAATGCAAATAAATAAATACGTGTATGTAATATATACTGACAATTGCAAACAATTACAGAAGGAGAAAATTACACCATGTAAACAAAATGTTAATGGTCCTAAAAATATGTTTTATTTTTCATCCACATTATATTATTAATATTATTATTTCTTTTAGTTTCAGTTAAGGTAAAAATACCTGGGAAATTTCTTTAGTTTTTTTGAGATTCAGCCAAATAGTAGCAGGCTACATAAAACCAGTTGTGTGACATCTATAAAGACATATGTTCATTGTTATCTGAAACAAAAGCCATAATCAGCTTCCTCTGATTTATGACAATTACTCTGCGCAGCATTTGGCCCTGGGTGTTGATCTGAAATATCTAGGCATCCACAGTGAGACAATATTAAAGTAATTGAGCGTTTGAGGCAGATATCTCTTATCTGCGAGCGTGGAGTGCTTCCTCTCCGTATGTTGATATGCACTCAGCACTCTGACCCAATGACCGACTGTCGGTCACCACTCATTTTTTTTTTCCATTAACAATGAGGCAGAGACACTCAGGAAATAACCCAGGAATTAGAGATGAGGGACCAGTGAGAGGAAATCAATAGGAAGCCAATATGTTACATGAAAAATCTGGTACGGTGATGTGGCCTGCTGAAAGTGGGGAGCGATGGAGAGAGAAACCCGGCTCAGTGCTCATGGGACTTCCTTCTTCTTGGCCAATAATGAATAGAAGTGATACTAATGTTTGACTGAACATTGTTTAATGTTTGAGAGCAAAAATTATTTATCTAAGCTCAAGCTATTTTTGTTTAGGTGTTGGCAAGCAAGTTAATTTGGGTCAGAATATGTATATACTGCATGCACTTTTTATTAGCATAGCTGTTTGTATGTAATTTGTCTCGTAAAAATAATGTCCGCATAAATGTGCGTCGGTCCCCATAGGCACATGAAGTAAACACTGAGTCGCTCATCGAAATACAGATGAAACACTACATGGTCAAATAGAAACTGCTTTAAATGACCTGTTTTTATTCAAGTCAAATATATTATTTAATATGACTGGATTATACTGGATTACCCCAATGGAAGTCATTTTTTAAGAGTAAAAATAGCTCCAACCACATGCATACACTGAGTTTGTCCTCTACGCTCTTCATGTAAATGCAAAATCCCTCCAACTGTAAGAATATCCTGACCGTCTTCTCCGAACCCGTGGAGCTTTGTCCTCATGGGAGAGAAGCATTAGCTAATGCGTTGCGAAGCCGTCCTATAGTGTTATCACTAATTGGATTGATGAATTGTTCATATAATGGCTCCCTGATGGGGAGACTGATATACAGCCTGTAAAGCAAGTCACTATTTATCCTGACAATGACTCCAATTAAACATGGACGACCTGCAACCTTAGGTGGATCATACGGAATAAAGATTATCCTCACCCACTCACAGGGAATTGTACATCCTTCTGATTAATGTACAGCTTCGGTGTGATCAAAAGCACAGAGAATTATGGAATATACTACTGCATTCGTTTAGTCTCTCCATCCCTCCTTCAGTTGATTGAAGCCATATTTTACCCTGTTGTTTGGATGTGATCCATGAGCATTGTCTTTAGTTATCCCTTACGTTTCTATGCATAGATTCACTTCAGAATTGTTGCACAACATTTCAGTAAGCGCATCAGGATTAAAATCCTTAATTAAAACTAAAACTATTTTTAAACACACACACACAAGAAAATTAGACATTTTTGGCAACTAATTATTTTGATAATTTGAAGTTCTAAAATTACTAACTTGAGATAAAACTGAACTACAATGAAAACTGAAATAAAAATACATTCCAAAAATCCAAAAATAAATAATTAAACTAAAATGTATATGAAAACTGAAAATATATAAATAATACAAAAATAACACTGAACTGTATTGTGAATTTCAGACATATAATGGGAAGTCAGCACAAAGCAATACAATATTTCTTTCTCTCTTTGTCTTATTTGTTCATATCATTTGAGTACGATGTGCTTTCCATATGCTTTTCTTTTGGTTTTGTTGCATGACAGATGAAACCAAACAATCCCATGTCTCACTCTCTTTCTCTCTCTTTCTCTCTTCTCATGACTATAGTGATCCCAGGGATGATTGTTCCTCCCATGTAGGGGCTCCTGGGCCGCTGAAGAGGCACATTTGATTTCAGCTCTCGCCAGAGAATCTACTCTCTGGGCTGAAGGCAATTTCTGGTGGAGGAGACATGAAAACTGAACTTTTAAAACTCAGGCCTTTTGACAAAGGAATCTCATTTTATGGGAAGAAAGTGTTTGTCTGCTTTTGTTTTTAAGCCAATTTCTGGACTGCTGTTACGAAGGACTTTACCCCCCGTGTTTTGCCCATGCAGAAAGGAGAGATGGAACTCCTTTTCATTTTGTTCATGGGCTTTTTGGATGAATTCAATGATCACATGCCTTTTTTACAGACTGTATCACACAAACATGACACTTTAGGAGCGGGTGCATCCGTAATGTTTCTGAGAGCAGCGACGGGCAACAGCACAGATCTCTGTTAATACTGACCAGTTTTTATATAAATAGACACATCCAATCCAATCCAACCCACAATCCGAATGAGAACAATGGCCAATTGTTTGGACACAGAAAAGAAGAGGGGAGGTTTTTTTTTTTTTTGTCCCTGAGAGAAGCCAACAAATAGTTTGCCATAATGTTGTTTGTTTTCATACTAAATGAAATTGTAGCGCCATACTCACTTCCCTATTGTTTTTATTTTTAAGCATAGAGTCATACAAAGCATCTGGGTACCAGCCGGTTTGAATGGCTATGATGTAGGAAAGTTATTTAAGAGTTATTAAATGCTGTCATGCTGTAATTTTTCAATGTCCAGATCCATCCTCAAAGAGAAGAAAAAGTGACCCAATTTCCACAACAAATCAGTATTTATTTTCTTGCAAATATTTGCTGCTAAATAGAGCAGAGATATGCAGTAAACAGATGGACTGAAGGAAAAAGACCTCAGTTGCCATGCCATTTAAAACAATTTTTTTTTTAACTTTTGAATTTTATGTGTGCTCAAAGAATGTGCTGATTTGTTTTTCTTTTTTGTTTTTGCTTTGTATATGAAAAAAATGAAACTGTGATATATACATTTTAATGTGTTTGGTTTGCTGTGTTTGCTAGTGAAGGATATAGGTTAAATGAAGTATAAGAAGAATACTTTTTCAGAGTGCCGACTGTTAAAGCAACCCGTTTTTTCCCTTTTTTTTGTGTTTCTTTGGCTTGTTTTGGGGGACATGACTTGAATTAGCAAAGTATTTTCATGCTTAGACAGCAATGTATGAAGAATGCTTTCCAAATGTGTCAAACACCCAACATACAGCAGTTTGATTGGCTCACTTTGGTAGTCGTCTATTTTGTACATATACTTTCTGTTGCCATAGTCTTTGTTTTATTTGTATTTATCTCAGAATGGCTTAAGGCAGCCCATAATAACACTGACGATCGGTTCATTGCATAAGTTACACAAAATCTCACCAACTTCAGCAAACACAAATCATGGATTCTGGACAAAAAGAGGGGAGTCTCTGTAAAATATCCATATAAATAATGTATGTATATCCAGATTGTGTATATTGCTTTTCTCCCCATTGTGGAAGGTTTTTTGTGATTGTTTGTCCATCTGTTCGCTTTCATTGTCTTTATTGTTAATGTTTTTGTTTGAATTTAGGTCCATGTTTTGTATCATGTCAAGCTTCCTTTTTTTTTTTTACTAAGTTTTATTCGTAAAAGGCCATTGTCTATTTTTGTATAATTTGTAAGTTAAAAAGCAGTTGTTTTCCTTTTGGAATTTTTTAATGTATGGCAAAAAAATAGCATCTCACAGCATTTAGTTATGTAGATTTTTAAAAAAAAAGATATATATATATATATAAATATATGATGAATTTATAAATCTATATCTTTTCTTTGAGGCTTACAGAACCTGTACTATTGTAATAATATGCATGGGCTCTTCTCTGAGAGTGATGGTTTTATTTTGCGTGTCAAACCTAGAAGGACGTTTCTGATGAAGTTTTAATCTACGTTCTTTTTCGTCTTTTCTTTCCTCTTTTATTTATCTGATTATTTATGCCTGCTTATAGATCTGTCTATTCCATTCTCTCTCTCACGTATATCAGTACCAGCAGTACAGATGCCTTAAAAATGCAAACCCATAAGCGTACAATCACTTGTACAGACTTCACAAACACCACTACCAGTGACAGTAGCCACAGAGTTCCTTAAGGGATTTCTTTCCAGAAAAAAGCACAAATCGGTCTGTTTTACCTAAAGCGAGGAGGGTTAAATTCATTATTTGTCCTTTTTCTGTTGTTTGTATAATGCAGGATAATGATAAGGAACTTGAAGGATTATAAAGAGAGACTATATGATTTATATTTTATGTGTTGCTAGTGCCATGGGTTGCACTTTCTCGTTAATTTAAAGCAAAAGGCTGCCTTTTTTCATTCGTTTATGTCTGCTGCGTTCTTGAGAGGGGGAGAAGCTCAAAGCCATATTCTACAGTGTCACCGTTCACTCTGAGGGGACGTGGAGGTGCATGTGAACCTGCATGTTTTGGGTCGTGCCATAGCACTTTGTAAGGTACCGTTGATGAATTTCTCACCCTGAGCAAAGTGACTCGATATCAGAGCACAACGCTTTGCCCCCGGAGCTGAGGTTTTGACTCCCAGTCTGTAACGCTGTGACTCAAGTCTAATTCTACTGTCAGCCGAATCGGCCCTCGATGATCGGTCTTCAGGGCTCTTTCATGAATGGTTTAAGTGCTGTCTTCTGTAATGTGTGTCTGCAATCTGCCATCTGACAGAAAAATGGCTTTTAATATGTTGATGTGTGAGGACTTTTTATCAGAAATGACTGATGATGTTTTTCTTTTCCATATGTGGCTTTGTTAGCGGCTCCATTGCAATGAATAAGATGGACTCCTTATAAAACGACAAGCATTTGATAGGACACAAGACTCGAACCAAAAAAGTTGGTCTCCTTTTTTCCTGCCTCCTATTCTTGTGTTTGTTTGTTTAATTTTTTTTTTTTGACTGGATACACACTGAACCGTTCTATTGATAGGAAAACTCAAGACAAAAACTACTGTATAGATTGTTATCATTTTTGATGAAAGCTGTAAAATAACTTTTCAAAGTTCACAATATTAAATTAAAGTTACTTCTTGTCTGTGATTTTTTTTTTTTGGAGTGTCTTTTGTCTTCCTTGAGCCTTTCTTCCAGAAGCAGGTGTTTGGGGGCATGTTAGGAAAATAGATGTTACAAAAGTAACCCAGCATGTTATTTTTGTGCCGTCTTATTGCCAACAGATGTCTGATTGTTCGTTATCTCCGGGGAATGATCTCTCCTTGGGCCCAGCCCACTTTCCTTCTACCCCAACCCGCCAATTCCCCTTAAAGTAGCACATTTTAATTAGCCCCATTCATTAAATTATTATATACCTGATAGCATAATGAATGTGGGCTCAGACTTTCGCAAACATGATAATGATGGGCTCCTCAACTTATTAATTGAACTGCGCGTTGCATTTAATTGACTCATCATTTGCATTTACGGTCATCAGCAAAAATTAATCTCTCTTTTTTTTTTTGCATATTTAATTTAAGATGCTCTTGATCTGATTAGCTTGTAAAAGTCACTGGCAAGATTCTGCTGACCCGATTACATGAAGGCAAACTCCACCTCAGCTTAAAAGAGCTTCATATGACCCTGAAACATTAATGAAATGCAAGTTTGAATTGTTAATATCTTAAGCCATTAAATCAAAATCTAGCACATGCTTTCAGTGGGAATTGCTGTTGTTTTAAAGCCAGAATTGGTGGTTGTCTGTTTGCTGAAATAAAGGGAAGGCCACAAACGAGTTGAAATTATTTTATTTTTTTGGTCCCACTTTATATCAGGTGGCCTTAACTACTATGTACTTACATTTAAATTAATATTTGATCCAATGCACTTATTGTGTACGTACTACATGCTTTTACATTGTACTTATATTTAAAAAATACCTGCATGTAATTACATTTGTAATTAATTTCTGTACTTACATAATTACATTGTTGACCAATCCCTTACACCTTATCCCACCCTTAAACCTACCAATACCTCCAAACCTGTCCCTAACCTTACCCGTATCCCACCTCAATAGCAGCAGAAGTGTTTTGCAATACAATATGAACACAATAAGTACATTGTACTTTTTTTTTTGATGCAAGTACATAGTAGTTAAGGCCAGCTAATATAAAGTAAGGTTATGATCCACAATGCACTATTTAAAAAAAAGTTTTGTAATCAGTGTTGCCAAGTCCGCGGTTTTCATGCGGAATTGGGCTACTTCAACACTGTTGCCAGGGGTTGCTTTTATGTCCGCGGGTTTAAGCGACCCCAATAACACGATATTTAGCCCCTAAAATGCAAATTTAACCAGTGGAACCCTGCCAAAAAATGTGTATTTTACCGCCCAGAATGCGTTTTTTACCTGGGGACCCTCCTCGAAACGGGATTGGGCTAGTTTTGTTGTGAAAACCTGGCAACCCTGTTTGTAATGTAAAAATGTGATTAATATAAAGGCATTTAAATGACCTGGCTTTATTGATCAAAAATATTATTTAATTTGAATGCACCAACCTGAATACATTGCCAGTCAAACGTTCTGAATAAATAATTAATTTTTCAATTATTTTGAAAAAAAAAAAGCTGCTTATGCTCACCAAGGCTGCATTAATTTGATCAAAAATAAAGTAAAAACAGTAATACTGATAAATATAATTAGAATTTAAAAATAAGTATTTTAATATATTTTACATATTATTATTTTTATTATTCTCTCTCTTTTTTTTCCCTATTCATTGGTCAGACATGCCAGAAAGTTCAAGTCTGATCTTTGAATTCTTTATATTGCCACCTAGTTCTAATTTCTGAGTGTTTTGGAGTCAGTAATTGTCAGTTTTATGTCAGTATTTTTGTTCAGCTGACTTCTGTATGGAGGTAAGATGGCAGAGCTTTGTACAGCCATTAGCTAATGGATTATTGAGAGACACGGCCGCCCCCCTCACCCCCCAAACCTTCAGTCCACACCCTGCAGTGAGGCACTTAGCAAACAAAGCCCGCTTTGAACATTAAACATCACAAGTGAAGGATTATTTATCTCTCCTTCTCTCTCTTACTGTCTTTTTCTCTCTTTCTGTCACTCTTCCCACTCTCTCTTCGTCACAGATCCCAGGGGAAGACTGTCTGGGAGCTAATGTACAGGAATGAGTGATAGATGACAATTTGAACAGAGGTGTGTGCGCATCTCTCTCCACTTGTCATTGTTGACATTCGCTGACAGAAACTCTATAGAGCAAATCAGCCTCTTCCAGCATGAGCTGATTATTTTTATATGGCACTTATAAAGCATCAGAGTACTAAACACACAGAGGAAAATGTATATTTCTCAGAAGTTCCTCATTCAGTTCTCAGTTATGTCATTTAAGTAGCATCTTGTTTCTTAAAAATGAAAAAAAAATTGAGTATAAGCAATAAAATTAATGGGGATACCAAAGCTCAGATAATTTGGTCTTGAAAGAAGATCAATTTAAAGCACATTGCTGTCTAGGAGAAACAATTGAGATGTACTAGATGCTAAAAGTCCTCATACGTTTATATTGAAAAAAAAATCCACTATGCTCATTTTATTTTATTTTATTTTTATTTATTTTTTATTTTTTTTTTAATAATCTGTCCATCTATCCATGGGGGAAAAAAGAAGGATTTCCACAATATGCAATTTAAATAAATTGGGCAAATGTAGACTATTTGAATATATGAATATTTCTGATTTTCTGACACTATATATTATCAACTATATTAATACTGATAAATATAATTAGAATTTAAAAATAAGTATTTTAATATATTTTACATATTATTATTTTTATTATTCTCTCTCTTTTTTTTCCCTATTCATTGGTCAGACATGCCAGAAA